GCAGTATTATATTTATATATAATAGAAAATAGTAAAATGAACTTAAAAAGATAAAGGTAATAAACAACAACAAATGATAACAAAACATGAACAATACAATAAAAACAAAGAAAGTTAAAAATACTATTGTTAATAAAAAAATTGCTATTAAAAAAAAGAAAAAAAAACGCCAAAATAACATCAATGTGCCCATGCCAAAAGAAGATAAATATGATTGATGAGTGCAAATAAATAAATATTTATCACTTTTTCTAGGCTAAAGCAGAGTTAGAAAAATCAGGCATGGCAGCGGACGCGGTCGCTAAGATCCTCCCGCACAAAGTATTCAAGGGCAACCGTCCAACCAACTCCATCGTCGTGAAGAAAGTCACGCCATTCACTCTCGGAGCTCTTATTGGTATGTAGATATTTTTAAATTTTTATTCAACTTTGTTAAATATTGATATTGATCACAATCACAAACAGAACCCTTCAAATTCGTCTTAGAATGTATTCCTATTTTCACACAATACAACGCAAGCATTGTTTCACGCCGGCTTTCTGTGAGGCCGTGGTATCACTCCGGTCGAGCCTACCCATTTAGCACAATATGCTACGCCGACGACACGCTGGTGCTAGCGCACGGGAGGTCGCACCAGGTGGCGGCCGATTTAATGGCGACAGCGGTTGCGACAGTCGTTGAAAAACAGCCGGCAGTTGGGACTCGAGGTGGCGCTCCACAAGTCCGAGGCCATGTGTTTTCATGGCCGCGGGAACGCGCCACCTCCGGGTGGGTCCCAAATAATGGCGGGAGGGGTTACCATCGGCGTCGAGACGACGATGAAGTACCTGGGACTCGTCCTCGACAGTCGGTGGAACTTCGTGGAGCACTTCCGACGTTTGGCTCCAAAGTTGGCGAGGGCGGGGGCTGCGTTTAAACGCATCCTCCCCAACCTCGGGGGGCCAAACGCCTCCTGCCGGAGGTTATACGCCGGGGTCGTGCGGTCCATGGCCCTCTACGGCGCCCCTGTTTGGGCGCCTAACCTGTTGCGGCGTCCCGCTCGGACGCTGCTCATGGCACAGAGGGTCATGGCGATCCGAATGATCCGCGGATACCGCACGATCTCTGGGGAGTCGGCGAACCTCCTTGCCGGATTACCGCCGTGGGATCTGGAGGCGAAGGTGCTCGCGCGCGTGCACAGCATGCGCGCGGAGGCACGTCGCCGGGGCGAAACTCCGCTGCCGCGCCAGATAAGTGCGTGGCGGGATGAGCTCCGGCGCGATCTCATGGCGGAATGGCAGCAACGACTGTCGCAACCGAGGGCTGGGCTCGCTGCCATCGCAGCGGTAAGTCCCCTCTTTGAGGAGTGGCTTGAGAGACGCTACGGCGTCCTCACCTACCGCCTGACGCAGGTCCTCACCGGACATGGCAGTTTCGGGAGGTACCTGTGTCTGATGGGGCGGGAGGAAACGCCCGGGTGTCATCACTGCGAGGACCGCCCTGAGGACACGGTGGAACACACGGTGGGAGAATGCCCTTCGTGGGCTGAGCACCGCCGTGTCCTCAGGGAAGTGATCGGCGATGGCGACCTCTCGCGTCCGGGCCTAGTGCAGGCCATGATGCGGAGCGAGGGGGATTGGGATGCCGTCTCCTCCTTTTGCGAAGCAGTCATGCTAGCTAAGGAGGAGGCGGGACGCGTGAGGCAGCGAAGCGCTGCCTCCTCGCAACCCAGCCATCGCGAAGGACACACCGGGCGTCGGGGATCGCGGGACGATCTCCGGCCACCGTAAGCGCGGGCCTGCGGACGGCGAGCATGGGTGGCTCCCCGTCCGACCAGAAACAGACCCGAGCGTACGGCGCGTCGCGTTCCGCGCGCGCCTCAAAGAGCCATCAGACCACCACAGATGGGGCCCAATAGGGCCGATGCCGATTCGGAGTCGCGGAGAACCTAACGGGTAACCGGGGCTCCGGCTCGACGTGCAGGAGAAGGAACGGGGTGGTTTTTAGTCAGTAAGAGTCTGACACTCCCTTCCGCCTCACCCAGGCGGGAGCAGTCATTCGATGATTTTCCCCCCTTAAAAAAAAAAAAAAAGCCTACCCATTTGTGACGAAGATGCGTAGATATAATAAAATGTTATGATTTTACCAGTAATGTATAAGTTCTACACTAAACACAATTCCCAGAATTTTCGAAAAAACAACAAAACTCAATAATTCTTTGCTCGACACGAGAATTTTATCACACCTTATAATGACAATTGACAATCCCACTCGCAATAGTCCACAGTCATCAAGAATGTTTTTGATACAAATATGATTTAACTTTTTCTCCACAGCGCTTTACGAACACAAAATCTTCACTCAAGGTGTGATTTGGGACATTAACTCCTTTGACCAGTGGGGCGTGGAACTCGGCAAGCAATTAGCCAAGGCGATAGAGCCCGAATTACAGGACAATAGTCCCGTATCCAGCCACGACGCGTCCACAAATGGACTCATTAACTTCTTGAAAGCAAACTTTTAATTATATGTATTAGAGCCGTTTTCTAATCGTTCTTAATTATTTTTTTAAATTACGTATGTAGATTTGAGAGTTGTATTTGGGAGTAGTTTAAAAGTTAATGATGTTCATAAATCGGCAGCAAAATCTATTTTGATTCTATATTTTAATAATACTATGTTCGGCTTCGCTGACGTGGAAAGAGTTTCGACTAGGTTTCGATTCTGTAGGAATATCGGGGTTAGGTCGGAACTTAGTCTATAGTACTCTCTAAAAGTGATTTTTCGAATTGGTTCAGTAGTTTCGAAGCCTGTTTAATGTAAACAAGCAAATAATACTTCCATCTAATATTACAGCAACTTTACAGCCATCAAATCTCCTCTCAATAGATTATAACTATACAAAAGTGACAATACTCGTTAAATTGTGTTAAAGATTTTATATGAATTGTTTTTAACGAAAAGGACCACAAAAATCTCTTTATTATACATAATATTATTGTTGAAATTTTCCAATTATTTTATTGTTAAAAATAAGTTATTAAATTATTTTAATAAAAAATTGATATTTGAACTAAAAAATGGCGCTAAAATAATATTTATGACGTCTAACTTTTTAAAATTATTTTTTAAGAGAACGTGACAAACGGCATTTTAGGCTAAGCACACATTTATACCTATTGTATTTAGAATGATATTTTGAATCAACTTTTTTCTCATTTTTGTTAATTTATGAATGCATAATCATTGTTTTCATTAATTATTATTAATGTATGGAAAATTGTGTTAATTCTTTGCTTTGCAATTTAAAGGAACAAGTTATTCTGCCTAAACATTGAAAAATGGTGAAGGATATTGAATGAAGTTTGTATGCTTTTTTGTGCAGCACATGATAGGAATTAGAAGAAAAAAGAGCATGCTTTACTTGTATTTTGGACTTAATCGCAATACATTATATAGTAGGATTTATATTGTATAATGTATAACATTTTATTTTGAAAAATTAAATTATTTTTAAGTTTCTAATCGAATCTGAATTCAGTCTCTTTTTAGCATTTTTTAAAACTGGAATTGCAACTGTTTCAATCCATTTTTGTTTCTATAGTAAATAAAAGACCAATTTCATGTATGAATAGATTACAAAATGCTCATAAATCCTTATTATCTGTGGTTTAATACAAATTGTATGCGTTTTATTATGTTTAAATGAAGTGTTACTCCTAGAAGTATTTATATTATGTATTGAATATTATAATCAATGTTATATACGTGTTATAGTAATAAAATACTGTTATGCACGATTTTCTTACTTTTATTGTAGATAAAAGTCCCGTCGAAATCGGTCCAGAGATTTCAAAGATTAGTCAGAACAAACGAACACACACACAGATAGACAGTCAATGTCTCTTGTCTCCCATCGGGGTAGGCAGCGACTATGGAACGATAATTACTACGATTCCAACATGCCTCTTTCGCTTCATCAATAGTGAAACTTTTTATGCATGCTCGTCGGTTAAGGGTACTTTTAATTTGGCCCTTTTTTAATATAACTTACTAGCTACTCTCGGGCGGTTTCACATTCTCTGCTCAGCTCCTATTGGTCGTAACGTGATATTTTATAGCCTATAGCCATCCTCGATAAATGCGCTATCCAACACAAAAATAATTATTCAAATCAGACGTGTAGTTACGGAGATTAGCGCGTTCCAACAAACACACAAAAAACAAACTCTTCCGCTTTATGTAATAGTATAAAATACATATACATATGTCTATACCTCAGACATATGTATATGAGGTAGAAGGAAACAACATATTGTGATTTTTAAACAATTTATTTCAATGAGAAACTTATCAATCAGGCATTAATTACAAAACATAGGTCACAATCACTTGAATGCGGTCCAGCGCAGGTCCTGCTTTTCGTCATAATATCTAAGAATTAAGAGACTATTTTACAACTGTTTGTTATATTTTTAGGAATGTTATAAAATACAAACATCTAATTGGTGGTATAAAGTTATGATAGTTGATACAAAAATTATATACAAATCAATCAATCAAATCACTCATTGTAAAAATAATATCAGATCAATTGTTTTTGTAATCGAGGTAGACACTATAGTATTTTAATTACGGGTACGAGGAACTTCGTTACTGAATATTTAATAGGTAAGTTGTGCATGATTGTGTATAATAGGGATAATTTATTTTTTCTATTTCCGTTCGCCAATGAGTTATTGGAAAAATATTAGACACAAATTTTTTGACAGTCGACAATTTTTTTTATTTTGTATAAAAGAAATAGATACAAATATTTGAATACTGATATGTCACAACAAAATACGTGTTTAATATTCTTCATACAAATAAACCTAACAGACCAGTCATCTTCCGTATTACATTGTGGTATCTAGTAACAGTTGAATAACAACAAAACCTTATTTTAACTAAAATATAGCTATAGACTGACTATTTTACTTAGGTTTACGTCCCCTACCGCCGCCGCCGGCGCCCGCCTTTTTCTTCTTAGCTGCATTCTTTTTGTCTTCCTCGGCTTTACGCTTGGGGTTTGGTGTTGTTGATATCTAGATTTGAGTAAAAAAGGAGTATTAAGTCTTAGCCTTTACAAACGGTCTTCTACAACTTCTACCAGCCAGAAAGGAGTAGCAGAGCAGCATTTTTTTTAATCAATTGGGAACTTGCCACCTAATCAAATTCAATACTTTTTTCGAACTGTCAAAAATGACAGTAATTTTCTATGTACATATTTTGTACGATATTGTGTTTTGTGACGTCACGTTTTTTTTAACGTCAAACAGCATAATTATATTTTTTTAAATTACTAAATTAAGTTGGTCATAAAATCAATTAATGAAAGTGTGATTCTTTTTTAATATTTTATTGTATTGAACAGTCGAAATAATTAATTTTTGAATAAAGAAAGAACCAAATTGCGAGCCCTATACACGATATTTCATTTGTTTGTTTATTTGTTCATGTACACAAAATCAATCTCTATTTTCTTACCTAATAAATATTTTGCCTAACTGTACATTGGTTAGGTACTGCATATCCTTGAATATCATCCTAATTTTTTTTATGTGAAAATGGTCAGATTCTGAAATCGCAATGCAAAGGTTATTTCACGCTAGCCTTTTGTGTGACCGCGGTATCACTCCGGTCGAACCTAGTCACTAATGAGAGTGCTTATAAACTACCTATTAGTTCAATAAGATTATAATATTTACCGTAAAGAATCCGTCCAGGCGTCCCTGCGTGGCACCGGTTCGTGCCTTCATGAGTTTCTTGGCGCCATTTCTCACTCGCTCTTCATTAAATTGCTTGTCACCGCACAGGAACTTCACTAAACCTTCCTCATCAGGGTCCGTCCATTTTAACTGCAAAATATAGTTTCTATTTAAGTTGACAATAAGAAGTTGATTATTGTAGTAAGATGTTAGATTTTCAAATTAGTCGTAAAGCTACTATCGGGTTCGATTGCCGATTGATTAAGTAACTAAATTATTTAACACTAGCAGTCCGTCCCGGCTTCGCACGGGGTAGAATTTTTTTTTTTTCAAAATGTAATGTAGGCTATGTTACTCGGGGATAATGTAGCTTTCCAGAGGTGTAAGGATTTTTGAAATCGGTCCAGTAGTTTCGGAGCCTATTCATTACAAACAAACAAATCTTTCCTCTTTGTAATATTAGTATAGATAACATGACATGACGTCATCAGTTATAAAAGTATAACTGGGTAAAGGCCCGATCCGGGTATCGAACCCGAGACCCCTTCCCCGGCAGTAACACTTGCGACCACTCGGCCAACAAAGCAGTCAGGTAAAAGTCTTGACTCGATTGTGAAAGTACCGCCTGAATACTGAAATACTACTCAATTTTAAGTTGTACTTAAATATCGTGGCATCTCTGTCATTTTACAAAGAATTTGTAGAGACAGAACTATACTTAAGTTGGACGTAAGTTTATATATGTATAATACAAGTACCTACGTCATACGAGTGCAGCGGACATACTTCATATACATCCACGCGGGTAAAAGCTACCATATGATGAACTAACCTCAATATCCTTAGGATCAGTGATTTCAGGTTCCAAGAACAGCTCTCGAGCTCTCTCAAAGTCCCAGTTTTCAGGCGGCGGGTATTTGTTCGTGTCTATATTTTTTAATATTTCCTCCAAAGAACGGTGCTGACGTATCAGTTCTATGGCTCGCTTCGGTCCAATGCCTTTTATAGAGCCACAGTAGTCGCATCCTAGGAGGATGCAGAGATCTATAAACTGAAAAAAAAAAATGAACATTTTAATATAAAAGTTTTTTTTATGGGGGGAAAATCATCGAATGACTTCGCGACATCGCCGCGACCGCGCACGCTGCTTATGAGGAAGAACCCCTTTGTGGTCCGCAACCAGTAGAGCTTTTCTCAGTATTTTTACGTGAGAAACCCGCGATTTTTAATTACCGACAGATTTTTTTTTTATGGAATAAGAGGCAAACGAGCAGACGGATCACCTGTTGCATCACCAGAGGAGTCACAAGTGCGTTGCAGGCCTTTTAAAAAACAGATTAAGTGTAATAGATAACATGTTCTGACTGCACGGTTGGTGCGGTGGCTGGACAACCGGCTACCGTGCAAAGTATCGCGGGTTCGATACCCGCACGGAACAACACTTTGTGTGAACCACAAATTGTTGTTTCGGGTCTAGGTGTCATTGTGTATGTGAACTTGTATGTTTGTTAACGCACCCACGACACAGGAGAAAATCCTAATGTGGGGCAACGTTTTTTTAATAATTAAAAATATTATTAGTATTCTCCTGTTTAATGTACTATGTCAATTAATGATTATTTAACGTCGAACTATCAAGTATAAAAAAGTACATCTACAACATACCTCTCTCTGGTTTAACTCCAATCCTTTTAGCACGTCGTCTAGGTGGAACTCCTGCACGGGCATCTTGCGAGCTTCAGAGAAGGTGAGGTGTCGCAGCAACACATTGGTACCGAACGTTAGAGCATCCATATCTTCAGTCGCTGAGGCGAACACTTTGCCCGCTTTCACCTATAAAATGTGAAGATAGAAGTTAACTCGTCGAGTACCGGTTTTGTAGACACAATTAAAGAACAATAGGTTGCGGTCACCGGTGACCGCTTGGTGTTTGACAGTTTAAATTAGGCTTAGATAAAGGAAACTACAACCATTCTTCTTGGGGATGTAGTTAGAGATATGAAGTACGAGCTAACCGTTTACCTGATTGTAAGGATGGGCATCCACAACACCAAACGATTTACAACCTCACAAATGCGGGGATTAGGTCTCCGGTAACCTTTAACATTTTGTAACAGAATGCTGTGCTGGTTTGTAACAGAATGCTGTGCTGGTTGTGGTTGATTCACGTCAGTTTTTGTGAAATTTGTCGAGTCAGCCCATTCGTGACGAAGCAAGGCTGTCTCCCAAAATTGGTTAAATAAGAAAGAAATGGCAATTGGGATGATGACAGGGTATGGAAATTAAAAATATAATTATTCCGTAAGTAAGATAAGTAATGAAAAAATATTAGACACGTATTTTTTTATTTTGTCGTATAATAAAACAATACTTAGATAAAACGAATCAAAGTTTATGAGTGGGGGCTAAAACGTCATTTCTACGTGTGAAATGTACATAGAAGTGACGTCACGCTACATTTCAAATCAATATATCGTCGAAAGTATTCGTTTCTGTAAGAAAATAAAAAATACGTGTCTAATGATTTAAAATAATCTACCAGACGGACATTAAAATAAAAATTAGGCGTCTACCCATTGTGTTAATAAGCACTGGATGATTACTGACCATAGCAGCGCATTGAGCCTCAGCCTCGCAGGGTGCCTCGACGACGGGGATCCCCATCAGCTTCAGTAACTGCCGCGCTTCCTCATTGTGCACCTTCGTCACCTTCACTAGACGACGGTTGAACTTCTCTATAGACTCCTGGTCACCTGGTAACATAATAATAATATTATGATTAACTAATAACTATCGTGAGACATACTAAATTAACTACAATCACGACGTCGGCGACGTAGCCGCGACCGCGCACGCTGCTCATGAGGAAGAACCCCTCTATGGTTCGAAACTAGTAGAGCTTTTCTCAGTATATTCACGTGGGTAACCCGCGATTTTAGTTAATTATGATTAACTACCTGTTTTATCCCATGGGAGCATTAATCACGATTAAAAGTATCCTATCACCGTTGTCTGTTTCCTGCCTGTATACTAAATTTCATCACAATCCGTTCAGTGGTTTCACCATGATTGATAGACAAACTCTTAATAAAGAAACTAGCACATATCTAATATTATAATGTGATAATGGGATTTGATAGTTAGGTACAGAATGTAAGGTTTTGTTAAAAAAATGTGTTCCGTGCAGCATGAAACCTGAGACATTTATTTATTTAGAACATTTACATATATATATAACACTTCAGCTTACGTGTTGACATGTTGCCTTTTGTTGCCTAACCAATTTTTTTTTTAATGTTTTCCCACACTAGTATATTGTCCTGTGTCGAGGGTGCGTTCACAAACACATGACATCCAAACCCGGGACAAGAATCTGTGGATCACACAAAGAATTGCTATATGTTGCGCCGCCGCTAGATGCCCAGCCACCGCACCAGCTGTGCAGTCGAACGCCAACCATAGGTCTCATAACACAGCTGGTATAAAGTGTGTTATTTTAATTAACAAATATGTGGCAATGAGAAATATGTCGACTCACCAGCCTCCGTAGCTTTCTGCAACTCCTTCTCCGCCTCCTCCCTCCTCTCCGCTCTCTTGTTCAGCTGATGAGATTTCATGTCTGGTGGCTTCCCGTCAAACACATACACTGGTTTGATGCCATTCTCCACCAGTCTGATTGTCCGATAGAACGTACCCATCAGGTGGGATGTTGTCTCTCCATCTACTGATACTAATTGAGATCCTGGAAAAGTGATATGTATGAAAGTGTTTGTTCTGTGTCAAGAGTCAAATCATTTATTTCATTTCGGCACTTTTAGAGTGAAACACAATGTTCAAAAGAGGTGTCTGTATGTCGGATACTCCTTTATGGCAGCTACTTCAATACATAGTATAAAACAAAGTCGCTTTCGCTGTATGTCCGTATGTATGCTTAGATCTTTAAAACTACGCAACGGATTTTGATGCAGTTTTTTTTAATAGATAGAGTGATTCTTAAGGAAGCTTTGTATGTATAATACATGCATATTGCACCCGTGCGAAGCCGGGGCGGGTCGCTAGTCTTTGTATAAAGTGGGGATTCTTAAAAAAGTATAACAGTGTATATGTGCAGTCTAGAATGCCTCCTTGGGGTCTTTTTAACTATAGCCATATCTGTGAGAAGACCTTTGTTCCTCATTCCCCAAAAGTGTTAAAGATAGTGACTTAACAAAGCCTGGCAAATTCATCAGATGGACCCCCGTTCCCAATAAAAACTTATTTTCTGTTACACACTGTGTTTTATGTTTTAATTACATTTCCTGTCTCAGTTCTATGGGAAGACATTTCAACAGGAATAAGTAGCACCTACATACTCGAATTTTATACACATATGTGTTGTTCTCTGTGCTATATGTGTGTACATGAATTATTAAATAAATAAATAAAAAACAGAGAAATTCAGATAACCTCTTAACAGGACCCGTCAAGCTCCATCTCCCCAAGGGTCCCGTGGCTTTTTGTACCCTGTAGTTTTGCCATTGGACAAAGCTTCATGCATTCACCAGTGCCGTTTGAGACAATTGAAGATGAGGTAACTAAGGCTGATCACATAAAGTCACTTTGTACTAGGTATATCAAGATAATTGCCTTACCTTCACTCCTAACAGCTATTAGAAACTGGTACAAGCTCATATACGCATCAATTGCTATTTTACGTCCTGTAAATAAGATATAAGTTGGTTATGTTTGACTATTTAGGTTAACAAAGGAATTTATGAAAATATCGTCACAAATGTGATTACGAACATCAGATTTCTGATTTGATCATTAAGAGAATCAGTGTTGTTATGTTTGTAGCTTTCGATAGTATTATTTTAAGGCTTGAAGTCTGGTATTGAGGCCGGTGTTTGTTAACAATAGGTTTTGTAAATCAACTCGTAATAAATCAGTAAATTGAAGATAATACTCTTAATCTGCCATAGCAATATACAAGTCTAGTCTTTAGGAAACAGGATTGATGTGTATTTCATTCGGGAAGGTTAAAAATATCGATTATAAACACATCTTACCGAAGTAGTTCTTGATTTCCATTTCCTTGATTGCATGAGGAGCAATATCTGCAATCAACTTAGATAAGCCTAGAATACCCATCGTGGTCTTTCAAAAACTAAGAACTAGTGCAGAATAAAAGAATTACTTAAATTTTTACAAATTAAACGTTACTTTCATTCGCTTTTCTACGCTTGACAAATTTGGCGGGAAGCGGGAACGGGATTTCAATGTCAAATTCAGACATAATTTGACATGTCAACAATAGTGTTGGTCATACATAAAAAGTATTGATTGTGATGTGTGTCCAGTCGAATTTTGAGTTGTAGTACATATTATTATCTTTTTCATTTATTATGCCTAATAATACAACGTAACAAAAGTTTATCGGCACACATCATTTTTAATAAAGCATGACCGAAATCTTATCTTATCAATTTTATGAAGTAACAAAACGCGCAATATAAAATGTTTTGACAAGGCAACAAAGCGCAGAGACGACAAGTAAAGACAACATTACACAATTTATTGTGTAGGGCAGGGCCGCGACCGTGTTTTGTTATTAAAATATTAATTTATAAACTTTTAAAACTTCAACATGGGAAATTATCTCAGCTCAGGAATGGAGGAAAACTTCAAAAAGAATCAAGAATTTATGCACAGAATAAATGTATGTATATTTTTTTCTAATACAATATCAATTTGTAGCAATATATTCTTCCTAATAATATTTTGTTTTTAGATGGAGAGGCAAATACAACTTCAATATCAGATGCAAGAGCGACAAATGGCGATGCAAATTGCTAGAAGTAGGGACACCTGCCTTTGGTTCACTACATTTTACGTAGTCGCTGCAGCAGGCCTTGGCAGTGGGTAATAAAATTTATCTGAGTTTATAGGGTCAATGGTCACAAATAGTATATAAGTCGAAGATCAAATATTTACATGGTTTACATATAATTATTTAACAAGAAAACTGGATAAATTAATACTAGTGTATCGCTTACATCTTAAAATTTATTTAATTTATAAATTAATTTTAATATTTTCAAATTCAAATATCTTTATTGCTGAACACAATAAATTTAAATGCATTGTAAGATGTTAGATGAATAAATCATTTAACTAAAGTCACTCTTATAGAAGCGTTGAATGAATTATTGGCAAATTATGTGACTTGTGTTTAATTACAGGTTCAGAAGAACTAAAAGACCGTATCTTTTGATACCTTTAGTACCTCTCACATTTGTGACTCTCTACTATTGGGATCTTGCCTATGGAAACAAAATACACAGGATAAGAAGTAAGTTAAGAAGGAAGTTTTAAATTCACATGACTTCATTACATGATCACCACGCATACATAATTATCTATAATTAAATCCATCAAAATGAGACACTGGCGTTTTCATATTTGGATTCTCGCCAATTTCGTGATCATTTTCTCCGAATGAAATTTATTTATTAGAATTTATTGACTAGAGAATGATTCATTTTATTCAATCATTTTGAGTTTTTTCATTTTGAAATTTTACTGTGTTTTAGGTTAGCCTTCACATTAAACCTTGTCATGTATTTACGTTGCTTCTGTAATCATTTTGAGGCTTGGTGAATTACTAGATCATCTCAATACCGTTCAAGTGTACATAATCTTTTGAATACATTGTTTCATTATTAACTTCTTCATGTTATTTAAGTATTATCAAAATATCATTGTATAGTTTAACAAATGATTTAGTACGATAATTCATAATTATGTACGTATTTAATTGGTCCAATTCTGTTACAGTGGAAGCTGAACACATAATGACACACGAGCAAGATTCCCTGGAATGGCCTTGCGGCCTGCCCACACCTTCGTCAATTGACCTTGGTCGTTTAGACGTAGAAGAGAAGAAGAAGATGCATCCCTCCTTGTTCGCGTAACTTTATAAAAAGCTCAACAATAATGTGTGCCTTTACCGCAACCTAGATCAGAATTAGCGGTAGTTTAGACCTTCGTCCACCGCACTTCCAATGGCAAAAACTAGAAATTTACATTATCCGTTGATGAAATTGAAACTTCAGACTATATTGTGAGACTCCCAACAAGCATTCCAGGTCTCGATCCATTTAAAAGTTCCTCATTATATTCGCTTTAATTATGAATATTGTACAGTACACAGGTGACCTATGTCTAACTAATGTGTATAGAGTGACTAATGTCATGAGGCCTAACAAACTTTTCTCTCTAAGGACACATTATGGTAACTAAACTTGTGTTTTAAAGTAGAGTAGGGTGTTGCATAAGTTATAGTACCTATTCTCATTGGAATCAATGTCAAGCTGTTCCTGACAAAGAGTTGTTAAATTTTAGCAGCTATAAAGAGCACTCTAAGTATTTTTCAATACGACTTGCTGTTTAAAGTAATGTTTTCGCCAATGGAAATTGCGGTCTTAGTAACAGCTAGATTTTAGAGGCACGAACTAATAATTAAGAGGTAGTTTCATTGAAAAATTCGTATTTCGATCAAGTATTATGGCTTTTTCTCCTTTTTAAAGCCGTTATTATCGAATCTGATAACGTTTTTACATGTCATCGTGACTATGATTATACGATTTAACGAAGGCCACGATGGAGTATTTTATGGCAAAAAAAGATTGAATTAAATGGGTGTGTGTACTTAGTGTACGGTTTCCTGGTAACCGTTTGGCTTTAATGCTATTTATTGAGATAAATCGAAAACAAAATTTGATCCCCCAATATTGGTTCAATATTTAATTGGTCTCTTAAAATTGGGTTTGAAATTAATGTACTTATTAGCCGCCTAACAATGATTAAGAATTTATCTGCGTTTGCAAGGGCTTGCAATTTAAAAGTCAACTTTGGTTTTTGAATGTGTGTGATTGTGTAACATTAGGAAAATTTTAGGATATACTTATTTTATGTTGAGTTTGGGACGAATATGCAATAGTGGAACGATTTTTTTATTTCCTGTGGTGTACATAGGGGGTGCTGCTTTCAAAGTACGAGAATATTAGTACTTTAACATAACTAAGCCGCTGAAACATTATTTTGTATATTTTTGGTAGAATTAATATATCTCAGGTTAATATTTTGTTAAATAATTTTATTTGTTGTTATATTATACATAAGTATATACTTTATTTTGTTTGTTATTTACATCGTAGTATAATATATTTATATTTGTTTATCGTAGGAGATAAATACTTATCAATTCAATAATGCCAACCATGCATGCACCTTTTATCTACAAGTGTATCAGAAAATACTTATCCTAAACATGATAATATTAATAATATTCGTGTTTCAAGTCTTTCCATTAATACTCTATGAAACTATAATTCGTGTTATATTATGAAGTTTATGCATTTATTAAATAACCGTCTAAGGTGAAATATTTAAGTATTACGAGACAAATATTAGATGTAATCTTCACAATTTTAGCGTGTTACTTATCAGATTGACTGTAATATTAATGTTAATTAAATAAAGATTTTGAAAAAAATAATATGTTTTTATTTGTAGTTTGAAATAGTCTCTAACTACAATCATAAATTAATCATTAAAAATTTAAATATTTCCACCAGTCATAAAAAATCGATTGTAATTATTCTGCCAAAATATCGATTATACATTTTGGTGCACAACTATAGTTGACATCCTTGGTTACCATAGCAACTGACAGGTTGTTTGGGGAGCCGTAAACAAATGAAACTCGACTGGCAGAATTCAAATGTGCCGATGTTTATCTAGTAATATTGACAAAATACCAAGATTTTAACAAAAAATAGTAAATGTATAATGGGATTTGTGAGATATTATTACTGTTTTTTTACGTAAGTACACTCAGCAACAGTTACATTTAAAATTAAATTAAATAATTTTCCAATCGTCAGTTGTATCGACATATTCCTCGTTGCTTAGCGTAAATAATCAATATTTTGACAATGATGGTAGTCACGCTTTTCTAATATTCAAATAAGCTCACGATACCCTTCGAATTTACATTTTATATAGCAATTTGATAGCAAAACATGAAAACTGCGAATATATGAATTTTAATTTGTATCAATTGCAGAATTTGATTTTACAGTCTCCGCGTAAGTATTTGTGTTGAAAAGAAGTTCTGATGTCACAAAATCAAGGTAAGAAGGACGACCGGAAGAAAGATGTGGGTCAAAAGCCAATACAGAAGAAGGTCCCTGATAAAAATATGTCGGAGATTGATGAACACATACTTAAACGGTTCGAAGTCAAGAAAAGGCTTGGGAAAGGCGCTTACGGTATCGTTTGGAAGGCTGTTGATAAAAAGACCAAGGATGTGGTGGCGATTAAGAAAATATTTGACGCTTTCCGTAACCAGACAGATGCTCAGCGGACTTTTAGGGAAATAATTTTCCTCCAGTCATTCCGGAACCATCCTAATGTTGTGAAACTACATAGTATACACAGGTAAGCTGATTTTATGTACTTTATAGGAAATACATACACAAATCCAAATATTATCCTATGGAGGTAGCCAAATTCTAAACCTCACCGATCTTTACGTAGCATTTTTTTTTACTTTCCAAATTTAAAATCTGTTATTCTAAATCTGCAGATTGTCTAGAAACCAAATTAAACTGTCAAACACCAAGCGGTCACCGGTGACCGCAACCTATTGTTCTATAATTGTGTCTACAAAACCGGTACTCGACGAGTTAATTAAGGGTCTTGTCTTGATCAGCAGTTCTTACCACTACATACTTTAGTTCTGGCTGAAAAGTGCACAAAAAAATATAAACATTTTTTATACTGTCCAGTGTCCATACTATCAGACCTCTTCCTCTTTGTTTGTTTAGTGACAATAATATGGAATATCATATTGTAATTCATTACCTATTATTTATCCTTGTAGCTATTAGCTTAGGTACCTACTTTAGCTTTTAAAGTACTAGGTGAAGAAAGTAATTCTTTATTTATTAATTTTCCTTTTTGTGCCAGCTGCACTTTTAGTATATCATTATTTTTATTGTGCCTTTCCCGAGTTCCTAATGAAGAAATGTGAAAAACAATAGCACGTTGGCATGTTTTTTATTTTTTCTAATACAAAGAATTGTAAGCAGAATTTTATTATGTAGGTTTCTTCCAATAAAGTTAATATTAGCATAATAAGATAGGGGCCTTATTAGATAGTAATGCTACATTTTTTGTGGACTAAAGCTTTTTAAGTCGGTTCTATTATACTGTGAAGTCTTTTTGTGCAATCAGTACAGCCATTATATATTGAGTATCGGTTTGTCACCAGCTATTTCTCCGTTGTTCGAACAATTGAGAGCGTATCTCTGGGTGAACAAAAAACGATAGCCCTCATTAGACGAAATGTCCCTAACACAACACCAGCGCCCTCTACTTAGCGCAAAAATTAGTTAAGTAACTGTTTTTCCTTTACACCAGGGCTCTGAACAACCGTGATATATACCTTGGCTTCGAATACATGGAGACTGACCTCCACAACGTGATCAAACGTGGCAATATCCTCAAGGACATACATAAGCGGTACATTATGTATCAGATGCTGAAGGCGACCAAGTACATTCATTCAGGGAATGTCATACATCGAGATCAGAAACCTAGTAATGTTTTGATTGATAGCGCTTGCAGGTAAGCTATTGACTTGTGGATTTTCTTGTCTTTGAATTCTCATAAAATTGTGACCTAATTTATCCACATGACAAGGGATATGGACTTTAGAGTTAATTTTAATCTTTGAAGACAATTCAAGGAGACATTCAAATCAGTTCAATAATAGACACTTGAATGTTCTCCAAGACAGAGAAACTCAAAAAACGGTGCGTGAATGAATGATGTTGGTTCAAAATTGTTTTTAATTTAAAACAAGTAATAAATACCTGGTTCCACTTACTCTAGTCTATCTTACTTAATGTAGCTATATCTGTAAATGTGTTTATTAGGCAAAATATGTATCTTGATATTGTTCTCTGAACAGGGTGAAGCTAGCAGACTTCGGTCTAGCGAGATCGGTGTCCAGTCTGTACTCAGGTGGAGAGGAAGGAGCTGATCCATGTCTTACTGATTACGTGGCTACTCGCTGGTACAGGGCGCCTGAAATACTCATCGCGAGCAAAAAGTCAGTATACAAATTTTTTCATTTCACTATTCTCATTTTTTCCAATCCGCCTTGAGCAGCGTGGGGATTATTGCTCATTGCTTCTTTACGTGAGAAGAGCCTAAGCTCGGCAGTAGACACTTATAGGCTAGTATGTTTTTTATTCTAATACTGCCACTTTGTCCACTAAGGACAAAAAAAATTGTGAAGAGGGTCCAACGACATCCTGTTCCTTGCGTCACCCTTCGTGTTCAAAAGACCCTCATCTTTATAGGCTTTAAGGGATTGGCAAAGAGCAGTTGGAAGGACGTTCGACAGACCAGAAAAGTAATAAGAAATCTGGGAAAAACTAAATTTCTTATTATTTTCCATGAACACTATTTCTGTAAAGGGTGCCAATATTTAGAGGATAATATTAATATTCGTTGAGATCTTGCAGCTGATGATGCTGTTTCCATTACCTTCCAGTTATACTAAAGGCATAGACATGTGGTCTCTGGGCTGCATTCTAGGCGAGATGTTGACTGGGAAGCCATTGTTCCCTGGCACGTCCACCGTCAACCAGGTCGAGAGGATCATGTCTGCGTTACCTAAACCTTCGCCTGAGGGTAAGTGACACTTAAGTGATAATGTCGTTTCTCTTTGCTATTTATTGTGAATATTTTATAGCTGAGCCAGAGGCGGATTAAAGTGAGTGAGCGCCCTAGACAAGCATCTCATAGGCGCCCCTATTTTTGTTTTGGCTGCTGCCATTTTATAGTCTGTTGAGCACGCCCGTCTCGTGGCGCCTCTTTTTAACCTGGCGCCGTAGGCACTTGCAACAGCCACAACTGTGCGCTTCTCTCGAAGCTTTCTATCTTGCACAGCAAAACTGTGGAAATATCTGTCGTCGGCGGTATTTCCTAACCAATACGACCTTCAAACCTTCAAGAATAGAGCGTATTCCTTTTTGAAAGGCCGGCAACGCACCTGTGACTCTTCTGGTGTTGCGTGTGTCGGGTGTCCATGGGCGGCGCTGATTGCTTACCATCAGGTGATCCGTCTGCTCGTGATCTTTGACCCGCATCTCTAGCATGGTGATAATGGTAAACCTTCTATTTTGTAGAGATGGCTTACTGTCCAGCAGTGGGCTCTTACAGGCTTTTGATGATGATGACAAAAATAGCTAAAAACATTCGTTTTCCTATAGACATAGCGATAGTGTGCAGTGGTTACGGCTCATCCCTGATCAGGGAGCAAGCGAGCAACTCTTCAGGTGGAGCCTCTCTGTCGTCACTCCTGTCCTGTGCTCCAAGAGACGCTGCAGACTTAGTCCAAAGACTGCTTGTATTCAACCCTGCCAAGAGGCTTAGCGCTGAACGGGCTTTGGACCATGAATATGTTGGCAAGTAAGTGTATCTTTTGTAATAACATAACGTAAAGTTGGCGGAGGTGCATATTACGGCACTTAATGCCACTGGACAATGTAACACCCACTTTTCACTATTTATGTTACGAGTCCCATGTAATAGGAGGGTGAGCCTATAGCCGTATACCGGACACAATTCCAGACTCCGTGCTTTTGATTGTTTAAAACTCAGTACTTGTGATTTTTTTTAAACTCAGTATTACATTGCCCGACCCGGGAATCGAACCCGAGACCCCTTGTCCCATAGTTGCACTTGCAACCACTCGGCCAATAAGGCAGTATTTCGTATAACATTGCTGAAAAAATACTAAAATTAAGTAGGTCATAAAACAAATTAATGAACGTGTGATTGTTTTTTAATATCTTACTGTATTGAACAGTCGAATTAATTTATTATTGATTAATAAAACTTATATAAATATCTCGCCTGGTGGTAATCGGTGATGCGATACAAAACATAAATAGCATTTCATGAATTGACTTACAATATCAGATCAGATAAAGAAGTAATGAATTACCTACGTTTATTTTCTCATGTTATATTATTAGTTATCACGATGATATACGAAAATAAACGAGATTAACCGATCTTATTCAAATGGCTGAAATAAAGTTACGATGCACAATGACTTGCGTGTAATTTGCATGTCATACCAGCGAATCAACTTTAGTAGGTAACGAATTTCCTGAATGGACTATTTTTGTTATATAGATAACGTGGGTACTTAATGCGTGTGATGACGGTAGCATAACGATACGTACTGCTAAAGAGTGGAATTCTTTGCCAGTCTGTATTTCCTGAAGGGTATATATATATAACCTGGGTGTCTTCAAGGCCCGAGTGAATAGGTTGCTTAAGGGACGAAGTGCTCTATTGCAGAATGCATCATCGCTTACCACCAGACGAGATAGTCGTCAAACTTTGGCCCATCAGATATAAAAAGAAGATTAAAATATATATTTTTTTTTTTTCTACTATT